TATCGAGTGCTTTTCCCCAGGATGAAAGAGCTGCTACGGTATCGCTTGTGGCAATCTCCTAGCTACCTGTCTTTGTAGCTGCCTTCTTGAAATTTGCGTTCTCGCTAAGCCCGATATGTCTTTAGACTTTTCTGCAAGAGCACGCAAAGTTCGCAAGTGTTGCACAAAAACCAGCATTTCAGTTGCGATGTGCGTATGTCCAGCGATGATTCGAGTTTTATAGCGTACGCCGATTTCTTGTATACTGTCGCCTATAAATCTATGCTTTCAAAACTTTTCATACAGTCTAACTTTACAACGCACTTGTATACTCTTGAACTTCCAGACACAAGTTATTCCCGACTCCCTTTATGAGAAAAGCACTATCTGCATCATCTCAGCCTATTCCACCAGTCTTTTGCTATTTTTGTATCCATGTTGCGAAAAAAATATAAAGTGCTGAATCCCTTACCCTGCTACCGCCATTCATAAAAGCATGCAAAAATGCATTTGAAAATGCGTTTAAGAAGGTGCAGCGGTTTTGCAGCTTTAAAACTGAAAATATTTTGGCGCGAGAGAAGAGCATACACAGAACGGGAGTGAACTGCACGGGACTCGAAGTTTGGTGCAGTGCCCGTTTGCGTCATCGAACGATGCCCTTAACTATATTTTCCTTTTGTAAACAGTGCACACAAATATCTCGGGTACAATCCTACAGGCCTCCACAATAGCGTACTTGTGCCCATAAACAATGTGAAACAAAGCATCGATACGGACTTCCCCAAATAGTCTTTTTTTGTTGTTTCTAAGCTGCACGGGTGTAGCATGTATGTATGTAATAAAATGCATTTTCCTCGAAGAAGACTCAATGAACATAAAGCCTTCCATCGCCATGTGCAATTTTACGTAACCGCATGGGTTAGTTCCCATCTGCGCTTTACTTTATGGCATCGTTTCGCAACACGCAGAAGAAAGTGCCAACACTATATGGCTGCAGGCCTAAACGGGTGCACATAGAGGTGTGCCTCTTTTTTGTGTGCTTTACCCCTCATTGAAAGTGCATCCACTCCTGCTTCGATGTCCCTGCGATGCTCTCCTCAAAATAGGAACAAGCACAAGGGCACAGGTCAATAACCAGCGCGCTCGATCAAACCATATTGTTCCAAACTAAAGATGCGTTTGGTCATGTAAGCACTGCATGAACTATTTTCTTTGAAAAGAAGTTTATTTTTTACATGCATGAAATACTCAGGCGTTTCATTTTTGTTTAGAGCGTCAAATTTGTGTTACTCATTCGCCGTTTTTTTTATTTTTTTTTATTTCTCGAGCAGAAAAAAAGTATCCAGACTCAGCGTTCGCCTAAGTAATAAAAAAAGATAAATGGACAGCCCATGAGGTTGCCATTCATAGCGCCAAACTCGAGTACAAGCGACAGGAGTATAAAGCTGCCACGTAGCGCACTTAGCTGTGCAGGCAGAGTTAACGCGGCCACATTAGGGTCGCTCCTTATTCATGATTAACTGCGCTCATATGTCAAGCTTCAAGAAAATCTGAAATGTGGTCAAAGGGGGAGATCGACAGTTTTTTTTTTTTTTCAATATGTAGTCTTCCTTCAAAAAAGTGTCATCTGCCCCGCCCCCCCCCCCCCCACCCCCCCCCCCCCCTCTCCGCTCCGTAAACAAAACGATTTCCGATGGTTTATGCTCGTGAGGAAATTAACATAGAAGCGCTTACTACCCTAATGAAAATAACACTTCAGCCTTGATGCGTTATGAGACCTCTAATCGCTTCAATTTCCTTCAGCCAATCAAGTTCCTTAGTCCTTCAAATCCTTTCAGTCCTTCAAGACCCTTCAGTTCTTGGGACCCTTGAGCCTGTCAAACCCCCTTAGTCCCTCAACCATTTAGACACCCAAATGGCAGTGAACCAAAGAACAAAAACGCAGTTTAAAACGCTATTAGAAATTCATATCAGATATTAAATTTTACACGCGTGTTGTAACTTAAAAAGACGAGAAAAAAACAACACGTTAACTTAAACCCAGGCGGCAGCAGCTCTAGAGAGAAGCGATCAGACCAAACAAGGATAACCGAGTTTTTGGTCGCAGAGGAAAAATATCTTTCGAGGTACTCGCAATGCCGCTGAGTAAACTCTTGATATGTACGGTAGTGCAACTAGTAAAAACAAGCAGGTACACTACACGGACATATAGAAGGTGTCAGTAGCACGTTTAGCGAAAACCACAAACGCGCAACCAACATCCGCGCTGTTGAGTAATCCGGAACACAGTCACGGTGGCGTCCTTAGAGCCATCGCGGTGGCGTCTCCGGCGTGTTTTTCAATTGCTGGATGCTTCTGAAGCCGGACGTGCGAAAAGGCGCAAGAAATAGGGCACTAACAGACCTTCTTTATCCGCACAGCCAGCTGCCCTAGAAAGTAGGTCCCACGCATGGGACGGGAAGCCGGCAGAGAGCTTCCGCTTGTTGTTGAGCACTTAGTCGACACCCGTTGACGGAGAAAAAACAGGGCGACAAGCTTCTGACGAAGGCTGAAATTTGACGTACTAAAAACAGGTTATCTTCAAACAAGCACCGAACCCCCCCCCCCTCCCTCCCCTCCCCTCCCCTCTCCATGTTAATTACGCATTTTCTCTCCCTCCTGAGCAAAAACCGGGTGTCCTTAATCTCAAGCCCGTGGAATACATAAACGGAACACACAGACGCAGCAATGGGAAAGCGTTAACCAAGACTACGAGATGAAAGGGACGGGGGAACGTCTCCTCAGTTTATATCACTCGTTGCGGTCGCCCTATACGAAATGGCCAAGCGGCTTCCCCGACGCATATATCCTGAAGGGTCACATGATCTCTCCCACAGACCCGTTAAAACAATTTTAATGAGTGCTGCGGTTTCGTGTAAAGAATTGAAACAGACCAAACAGGCCTCTCAAAAAAAATTTGATGGGTCTCTTACACCCTTCAAAAATTTTTAAATGGTACGCCAAATGATTTAGAAAAGCCCGTTAAACAGTTTTAAACGGTACGTCAAAAAAGTTCAGATATCTCGTCAATTTATTAGCAAATATTCATGCCGATTCAAGTGACCCGTTAACACGCCTGGAGGGTTTTGCAAGCCAACGCTTGAGTTAAATTTCTGTAGTTTTGCCGATTACAGCTTTCTCAAAACGTTAGCAGCGTTCGAAAATGTTAACGATAAAATATATATTGTGTTTGCTCAGATGAACACACATGGTTTTGTTTGCTTTCCAGGAAAAGGTGTTGATGTCATCACTACTCTTCATCATCGCCATTGTTAGCGACGAGACCACTGTGTTCCAGCGTCTCTGCCTGCGCGCCATTGGTCGACATTCCCTGCGGATGCAACCCTTGTTCTTCCTGCTTCAGCTGTCGGCGCTATTGCTGAGCACCCTCGTGCCCAGCTCCATCATTGTCATCTTCTACACGGTGGTCATTGAGCGTTTTGTGGCTACAGTGGAGGAAGAGTGTCTTGGTGTTTATCAGCCTAGGCCTGCCCACGCCCCTCGCAGTGTCTCGGTTGACATGTACCTGGAATACACGCCCTTGAAAAAACGTCGCCGAGTCCCACAAAATAGTAGTACCACGGGGGTCCGCAGAGCTTCAGTGATGGGCGACACTTCGGAGACAACTGGCCGTACTGACGCCTCGGCCTCTACGTGCTCTTCCCTCGTCCGGCATTACAGAATGCACCCAGAAGGCAGGAATGACCCGGTCCAAGTACAACAGGTAGGTGAAAGTGCGCCACTTCTACACTATATGGAAGACGAGTCACTCTTGATTTTTTTAACGATATAGCTGCATTAAGGAGTCACACACGAAACGTTTTTTTTGTGTTTGTCTGCACGCTTAGCGTCATAATGTTGAGTGAGATCACAGCGTTATGTTAGGTCATGGTGTCGTGACGTCACAGTGATATGTGATGCCATTGTGTAACGTGGCGTTATAGTGTCATGTAACGCCACAGCGTGACGTGAGGTCAGAATTCACTAGATTCAGATGGTAAGCGCTGCTCGACAAAAACACAGTAAAGTGCGGTCACAGATTCCTTGCCTTAAATGAAATGGCCAAGGCAAACGAATTTGTTTTCATGCTTCGTTTTCAGAAAACCCGCAGAACCTCCTTTCACCTGTCGAAACAGGTTCCAAGCAAAGAACTACTGGTTTGCGGGCTTCCGAGCAGAAAGATTAGGTCCAGCGTATCGGACCCAGAGAGCCGCCAACCTTGGTCCATCCTGAAAAGCGGTTCCATCAGAGTACGGCGATCGCTTCAACATGGACCTGCGGGCTCTACCCGATTCCTTGCCGAATACGACCCAAAGATGAGTCCCGCCGAAAGGAACGCGTCTGTCTTCCAAGTGTCCGGGGCCACCTCGCCGAAGTCGGACACGCCACCTCCAATGTCTTCGGGCATGCGTAAACCATCTCTGCTTCCTTCACGCTGTATGTCCCTTTCACCGCTCGCTTCCGCAGCAACTTCCTCTCGCGCGATGAGCTCGAGGAGGAGCTCCGTTGAGTCTATAACGAGCAAGGACGACCAGCCATTGGTACCCCAGCGAAGAAAACATCTAGATAGCTTGAACGGATGGGCGCGACAAATGACGGCAGGTGGCAGTTTCAAACTTTTACAAGACAAGTTTCCGTGTGACGAGTCCCGGAAAAGCACCAGCGAGACTGAAGAGCTCCCTTACATGAAGGTACGAGCCAGCCTTAAGGACGACCCAAAGAGCGCCGCTGATGCCAACGCTATAGGCGCATTTCTGGAGCTGAAAACAGGAGCCCAGACGCTGAATCGAATTCATCGCTCTGAGCTCCTCTCTGCAAAGGACGTCCTAGGGAAGAGCTCCACAGTGGTTGTGATTACCGAGTCGCCTCGTGCTTCTCTCAGCCTTGTCTCAAGAACCTCTTCCAAGGCGCCTGTCGACAAGTCAAGCCATAGCGACGCAACGGAGCGTCTGGCGTGCCAAGAGAGACCTCCGAGTCGGTGCACTTCTTCATTGCTTGGGTATAGAACCGAGCTCGGCGAGGCACCCACGTCTGCTCTTGATGCTTCGCTTAATCAGCAAATACAAACAAGCGTCAGTGAACGTAAGATCTTCCTCACGCCGGCAGAGATGCAGTCCTCCTCTGCTGACTCGAGACTGCTACTGGATGCTGCATCATTCTACTCAAGAGAATGTAAGTTATTCTTTCACGTAAAATTTACCTTCGTTTCTGGAGTAAACTGCATTCATCGTATCTACCCCGAACTGGATCCCGAACATACTGCAAAGCTTTTTTGAACACATAATGCGCTTTATGCGGCGTTTCCTATGAGAAAATCGTCATTAACGAGCGTTATATCGACCGACATAGCGAGCGTCGTGAACGAATGACACACTGGTAGCGTTACAGATATTAAGATTTTATAAAGGGGCGTTCAGAGGTAGACAAATTCAAACTCGGAGAACTTCTGGCTATAGGTTTTGATTGTATTGAAGGACCCGCAGTGCATAGAGCGTACCTTGAAAGTCTCGCCGCTGGGGACCAACCGCGGAACCTCCTGAAATTCTCTTATACGGGATCAACATGCCGCTTCCCAATCCCTGATATAAAAAGAGCCCTTGTTCCTCAAGGAAATGACAAATTTGCCTAAGGTACTGTGGGCGCATCTCCACGACATAAACGCCTAATCTATCTTAAAAAAAAAAAAAAAAAAAAAGCCTACTAGTGCTTAAACGGTTTCAACTACTTCGTGAACGGCAATGAACCGGCGATGTGCACTTACCTCCCACAGGCGCAGAAGACACGATAATAATAATAATAATAATAATAATAATAATAATAATAATAATAATAATAATCTTTATTTTTCGGGTGCCCTAAAACGGCCGAGCGGCCTTCTCTTAGGTACACCCACTCGTACAATAAAAACTCTTAAACAAAAATCCTACTCATTAAAAAGAAATAGATATGCAGATACACTGACGCGCTATGAAGTGACGAAAAGTTCGTCCAACTGACAGCGAAATGTAGGCAGGGGTGTGGTGATGTCAACTTGAGGTGGCACAATGCTGTTATACAATGTCTGTAAACGAGAAAGAGGTGACAGACGGCATGGTGAGCAAATATCAAAACAGGTGAGCTGTCTCGTCGCACGGAAAGGAACATGGAAGTGGATTTTACTAATAACCCATGAAGAATCAATGGCACCATTAATGATCTTATGCAGGAATACCAAGTCAAGGACTGTTCTTCTGTGTAATAAAAGCTTCAGCGAAAATCTATTCAGTAAGCATTTATAGTCATAATACACGCGTCGTCCAATCCATCTATCAAAAACAATTCGAACAAATCTTTTTTGCACACGTTCTATGATCAATATATCTGTGAAAAATGGGATGGGTCGCGCCGACGCTATCCTGACATACCGTACGTGGCGCCGTTTTTGGTTGACTGTCAAGAGTGTCCTGCGTGAATCGGCAATGCCGGCGAGGTATTTCTATTTCTTGACTGGCTAAAGTCCGACGTTAAAAAACAAAACAAAGGAAGATTAAGCGAAATAGAATCCGCTTACTTTTAACCTGAGCAAGACCTTTTAAGCTGAAGACTCGAACAAACTGTGGTGCCCTCATTTCGGATATTACGAACTCACCTGACTGGGTTTCGCACTACTTATAGCACCTTCACTGAGACTTTATTTTGGAGTGTAGCTCTGAAGAAACAATGTCGCAAGACAATGGAAAGTGTCGGATTAAGGACACCCCCAGGGACGCGACTCTTATCTCTGCGTAATGACTCCAAAATATCTAGCTTCCCGACGTTTTTTTTTCGGTTTTTCTTTGGTACACGTGAAACCGCGTCTTCCACGGCGTTCAAGATTGTTTTTCGTATTTATTTTGTGATCTCGCGGTCTGCACCAGAGGATGCGCGTCTACATGAGTGGCAGTTTGAGACGCTCAAGATTGTACTACGCAAAGCAAGACCTGACTAGGCTCCCTAGTCCTGACGAGTCCGATTTCGCGACCTTCCCTGGGCAGGGAAGGTGGCAATACAAGCCAGCAGAGGGAGATTAGCCGCTTTGTCCAACCCCCTTTGACCTCGTCTTCTGATAAGCCTCCAAACCTTTTGTGTCTTCGTGTTGCTGTGAGCGAGTGCGAAGGCCGCTTCTAGCAAATCAGAGGGGTGGCGCGAAACACGTGACCGCTCTCCGTAGGACAAGGACGCTTGGACAAAAATTTGTCACGTGACTCGCTCTGACGCGCTGATGAGCTACTGGGGCCGTAGTCTGCCGTATGCCAAGTTATGGTGAGTTGTAGGGCCACGTAGGTCCGGTTTACAAAAAGGGGGGCGCCCGTCAGTGTATTCCTGTTTTTCGTGCGTTTCAGTCGCGGCCGTGATTTTTCGTCGTGAACGGCCGGAATACATCCATGCCAACTTTTCGGAAATGGTCGTTTATTTCATCGGAGTCCATGGAATTATTGTGCTGTATTTCTTGGACGTGTTTCGACAAAGAGCTGCTCATCGGCGGCCGCGTGACTTCCGTTGAATGTGATCGACCGCCTTCAACCTCGGCATTGTGTTTGCGTTGTTTTGTGCTGCCTGAATCGGATTACGCATCTATCATGACAGAAAGGTGCTCATCGGCGACCGCGAAACTTCCGCTGAATGTGAGCGACCGCCTTCATCCTTGACATTGTGTTTGTAGATAGTTTTGTGCTGCCCGAATCGGATTATGCATCTATCACGGATTACATGAGATCGCGGTTTCATTTGTAAGTACTCTGGAGGCATGCTTCTGATAGTAGTCCAAGGGGGCTATGTTCGACAAATGTTTCGTTTCTCCTAAAAAGAAACGGAAGCGACGATATCGCGTTTTACTGGTTAGAAGGTCAAACGGCGAAAATAGGTGACTTTCGTCATTTCAACCTCTAACCAATCAAACGCGATATCGTCACTTCCGTCACTTTCGTTTATTTTTAGGAGTAACGAAACATTTGTCGAACATAGCCTCCCTGCTTCCGTTTCAATAGTCCATTTTACGGTTTACAAACATGAACTGCCGCTTACGTCTCAAGCAACTCCCGGTCGTACCGTCTTTGCAAGCCTGCCAGTTTTGTCCACGTCACCAATGCAAGAAAGCATAAACGTCACAAGATAAGTACAGTTGGAGATTCAACTATAGACCGTCGGTTGTACAATTTGAAGGGGTTATGAAACAATATTCGGTTGAATTATTCATGACCTTGCACGCACGGAACGCCACTGGTTTAGAAGCGTCTTGGTCGTGGCGGAATTGCGAGGATAAAAGAGAACTAGATCTTTCAGTCTTGCCTTCGCCAATTTTGATGACGTGCACGTGAACGTAGCTTTGCCCTTTGGCACGCTTGTAATTGCACGCACTCGCCCGCATAAGCAGAGACATGGCTGCGACCAGATGACCTGCTTGCAATAGCCTATAGAGAATTTTGTAGAATCTGTTAAAACCTTGATTAAAAAATAAGACGTGAACCAGGCATTTGCAGTCATTTTTTTGTGCACTGTTTTGGATTTTTACGCCCTGATTCATGGGTATTGGTAATCGCGCCTTTTTTATTTCCCTTTCTGGCGGTGATACACCCAATTTAGAGGGCGTACTGCGGAGTCATAACACCCTAATAAAAAGGTGTACAGTGAAATCATAGATTAATTTAAGGGTGTTCGGAATAACGCCGTCCTTTAAGGGTGTTAGGGAAAAACACCCTATTTTAGGCGTGCTAGGAATAACGCCCATTTTTTTAGGGCGTTTTCAACACGCGGCCCTGACGTCACGCAGCTGCGGTGGCGCTGTCGACGGCACTGCGCGTGCGCAGACGCTTCACTCCTCCCGAGTTCGGTTTGTGCGCACGCGCAGTGCCCACACCTGGTGTGGGCAAACGCGGGCTTGTTTGTAAACAGAGTGTCGGTAAGCCATTTACACCCACAAGGGCCCGACTGACGCGTTGTCGTTGGCCTTGCAAAACTACGATCTGAAAATCGTTCGCTTATTAAATACGCTGAAGCCTTGTTGAGGCTAGATAGGCATGACTTGGGCATTATGATTATGTCATGGAGTTTTGAGAGCTCTCAACACTGACTTTGCCGGACCCTGGAATGCACAGGAGTGGGCCCAGCTTGTGTGCGATTGTTGGTGGCAGTTTGGCTATAAACATTACAGCATTCATGACAAGTTTTCCTTTGGTGCGCCTATTCTTTTGTGTGTTCGGACATTTTGCCTGTGACAGTAGTTAGTTCGTCGTTTCAGTGTTTCGGGGTTTGTAATTGTAATGACCTTTTCTCTTTTTTTTTATCGGTGCAGTTTGATTTTGTTGACATTTGCGGATGAGATCTTGGTGAACCCTTAGAGCATAATGTTGAGTCTGCTGCTTTTGGTTAACTTTGGGCCAAGCGGTCGGTCTGAATATTTATCAGTGCGCTATTCAGGGATAGAATTTATGTTGAACTTACAGCAGGTGTCACCACAACAGTTTTGGTGAGGAGAAACTGAGTTAAGAAGCGCAGTTTTTTTTTTTTTTTTTTTTTTTTCACATCTCTTATTTTTTTTTTTAGCCGCCCCAGCGGCAGCGGTATGCCCTTCGGGGGCAGGGGGCGACGCGGGGAGTGCCCCGGGAATCGACGCTATCGTCACGGAGAGCACAGGGGCTCCCCGACGTTTTCCTTCCTGTTTTCCCCCTGTCCCTCTGTCCCTCTGTCCCTCTGTCGCTTCGAAGTTGAGGAGAGGTGCGACATGGTTGGGGGCTTTTGGGTATTCAGTCGGTTTAAGTAGTAAATCTATGCCTTTTCCGTGAATGGTACAGTCCCGGTCACGTGACGAAGTCACGTTTGAACTGATTGGTCGGGTTGTCTAGGAGAAAAAGGAAGGTTGAATTTTGAAGATAGGAACGGGGGAAGATTTTGGGGGCCTTGGGCCCAGACTCAGGAGGAGTAAGAATCGTCTCCCCAAGTGGGGCTTGTAGCTTGGAGTTGGGCAGGTGTAAATAAATGTACATAGTTCACTACAAGGAGCTAGTTATTATCGTCCTAATTTTCAACCGAAACAAATACAAAAAATGCGCTTGCGGTGCTAAAGCGTTTGTGAATTAACGTCACCTTCACTTGCGTGTTTCTTAGTTTATTTTTAGTGTCGCTTCCATAGACCGTGGCATAGATACTCACGCAATGCCCTTATCGTCTAAATGTTTTTCTTGCGAATGTAAGGTGCCAAAAGTGATATTTTTATTTTTGCATTTTTTCTTTTCTTTTCAGTGAACTCCGGGTATGAACTGCAGAGCTCATTGTCAGAAGCTCAAAAAGTGCGAGCGTAAGTGTCCCTCAACTCCATTTGTTTTCTTTTTAGTATTTTTTAATAAATTTAATATTTTGCAATATATCGTTCGAATGTACCATTTGAAGCTTACCCGAATTAAAAATCAATATGCACCTATTCGAACAACAATACTTCGTCATGCCATGGGAAAGAACCGAATGACATCTTATATCCATTTTTTTCTCAATACACAACAGGCTTCTTAATTTATGTGTTCTCATGTTTGACTGCAGTACTCTATTTGCCAGATAGCCCTTCCGTGGAGTTATTTCTTCCGCCTGTCTTCAATATGATTTACCAAATAGTAATTTTTTTTTTGTAAATAGGCGTGGCACAATGCATCGACAATGCTATGTTAGTTTTATGTATCATAATATTGTCACGAATGACAAAGGATGAGGCGGAGAATAACTGAAGAAACTGAACGTTTAATGGGGCGAACAATTGTACCCAAAAACAAATAGAAGGAGCTTAGCGTCGCAGGCGTCGATGTCGGTGATACAGCAGGATCGAGCGCTGGGGCGAAACTGACCCCAATCGCCACGAGGAGATATATGTAGACTTGTGGGCTTATGAAACAATCGGCGTAGGTTTAACGCGTAGAGCATTCTACTCTCGAATAAGCCCAACAGAGTTCTGGAATTTACCAGAACGCGAAATTACAGAAACAACAAAAAGGTGTATCCGCGGCCAGGCATTAAACCTCGGCTTTTCGCGTGGGAGGCAAGCACGACAACCACGCTAGGCAGCGGAGGTGCTGCCTACTTGGCCAGCTGCGGGCCCGACAATACAGGTAAAACATGGGATAGACTGTGAAGTACACTGATAATTATACTTCATTTTTAATTGTTTTTTATGTAGTTTTCTTTGTGGGATATGGGTCATATGTGTGCATGGGGTGTTTGTCCGTAGGGTAGGCGTTTCGGCAGATTATCTTTTATAGTAAACTTGTAGAGGCATCTAATGATTTAAGTACCGGCATGAAAAACATAAGCAGTAAGATCCGATTAAAACATGGCCTGAGGCCCTCGTGTTAGAAAGCAGCAAGAAAATAAATTCCTTGCACATGGCTTCGAACACTGCTACAGGTCTGTATAGGGGCCAATATGCAGATCTACAAAACCCGTAAATGGAATCGAACTTTTCAGCGTCTTGCAGGGTCAAAAAACATTAAAATCCTTACAGTTTTTCTTCTTTATTGTCGACTAGAGAAAGAGGCATTTGATTTGTACGAGGAAGTTTTAATTTTACCAGAGTTGTTCAATACGCTTATGGTCACGGAACTTAGGCTCTGGTACGGGGTGAAACACTGCTTCTAGAAGCAAACCTGCCTGGAAGGGGGTAGGGTGCCTACACGTATCTCTGCGTCAGGATTAAGACATCATTTGTTGCATTGAGTTGGCCAGCGCGTGACCTGCCTAGACACTTAGTGGATGATATCTGTGCGATAAATGGCGTCAAAGTATTAGCCAAGGCTAGGAGCTCGAGCTGAATCAACCCTTGTTGCACGCACTTCAAGATAAATAAGAAAACACGATTGGACAAAAACATTGCTAAATGGAAAATTTTATTAAACTTGGTGCAAAGGGCAGTGATGGACTTGGTCACTCTGATGAAACGTTGCACTTCCCATTAAACGGAAACAATCACGAATGATAAGTTTTGAAAGGGGCATGATCTGCCATCCTGCAGAGACTAAAGTCATTTAGCCCTTAGCTTACAAAAAAAATAAAAAAAAAACAAAAGGAGGGCATTCCAAAGACAGCGATATGAGAGCACAGGGGGCGTGAATGGCATGTGGGGGCAGACATCACCCATACTTGTACGAGGTGCGCAAAAGCTAAGACGACTCGGCCATTGTCAAGTCCGACGTAACTACACGACCATCGCCAGAGAACCTTCTCCTCTCCCATAAAGAATAGCTCTGGATCGAGTCGCCGGCACAAAGTTCCACGCAACTGGGAGAGGAGTTTATCTACGCAACCAGGAGAGGAGTAAAGTACTTGTTTTCGAATACATTATTTCCGAAATGCCGGCGCCACTTAAAAGTGCAGCTTTCTGTACTTTAAAACACGCTTATTTCAGTTTGGTTCAAGAAAACTTTCATTTTTTAATAAATTAATGTGTTGAGCCAGTTAATGGCATTTTTACAGTTAAATGCTCTAATGAATGCAACGGCGAACCTACTTTCAGCGTGCCTATGCTATTTTGTTATGAAAAGGTGCAGTATCGCAAATCGACATGCATAAAAAACAAAAAAAAGTGTTTTATTCTTATTTTTATACAACATTGTGCTATTTCTTTATATTTTCTCTGCAGCTGAATGACATACGTAGGTGTTGTATGGTATATTTTCCACAGAAAACGCGGCTATTGCAGTTATTGCTTTTAAAACGATAGCTTTCGGGGGTGACGCAGAGTTTATTTGATGTGCAATTATGTAACTCTTTGAGGGGTTAAGTTATAAACTTTAACTTTGGCATGACAATCTCTTTGAAAGTGTTGAATATGTCCTACAAGTTTCACGCAATTCAAACAAACAGTTGAAATTTTCGCCCTCTGGGGTAGTGTCTTCCATTGAGCAATCAATTTTGTCTTTTAGTTTGCTATGGGGTATTGCTGACTGCTTCTTTTACCTCTGTTGAAATCCTCAAGTCATGGCAATATATATTTGAACCTTAACGACCCAAAAGAGTCAGAAGTATTTTCTGTTCACGCAGGCTTTGCCTGAATCTGAGACCAGCCTTTATTGTTGGCACTGCATTCACGGCCATCTTCGGAAACCTGATCCACGTTGTGACAGTGCCCACTCAAAATTCTCTCATGAAGAATCTCAAGTGGTAAGTTCTACTGCGAGCGACGTGGTTTTTCATTGAAGGAAAACCGCCAATTCAACAGCACTAGAATTGCAGCATTATCTTTGATGAATATGCTTACGACTTCTTCTTGGCGATGACAGAGTATGATAAAAATTTTGCCTGTGATTGCAAATGAATGTTGTGATGTAAACACCACGGATATCGGCACCAACTACACAAATATATAATGCACTTGAAGTTTCTCACTATTTATCTATGTTGCTGAACGAACATTGACGTGCATATGTGTTCCTATTCACGCTTCCACGTCCTAAACTCTGTCAAATTTTTCGAGTTTAATGTTAACACGAAAGGTTTTTATAAATAAATAAATAAAATATTCAAACCACTAGATTTTACTGAATTTTAGAAAGTATTTATTGGTGAGATTTACATAGATTTCGAAAATTTTTAAAAGTAGCATTTTCCAGGCTATTTTGCGAGTATCAGCAAACCCTGGCAGGAGCATGGCTGCCTCGTAATTTTGCGTTTTTCTGCACGTTCTTAAGGTTCCCTCATGATTATCGCTACGTCCGCCTCTCCCTCTCTCCCCCTTGCCTTCTGATGCACTAAATACGTATTTTGGAACACTTCCGTGTGATATTACCAAAGGCAAAAGGTCGCTCTAAAGGTTTAGCTTCTGGCACATTCTTACCTTGTATCTGGATAGAGTGAATTGTGTTTTGCTCTATAGTTTTGGTTAGCGTTGTCTCCTCACCGCTTTTTATTATTATAATACATGACTTGTGGCAATGAGCCGGCGACCATGCAGTCTTAGACATTACTCCTATGCACCTTTTTTCTTATGCATCCTCGAGCTCTTTGCACTATTTGAACAGCTTTGAGGACAAGTGCCCCCTCCACTGGTGGAGCTGGATGGCCGTGTCGATTCCGGTCGCGCTTGTGCCATGTACCATTTGCTGGACCTACATTTACCTGACTCTCCTATTACCGCGGTAAGTCCACATTTCTTTACAACTTTTGTTCAATTGTGATTGTCATATTGCCATGTTTTGCTCTGCAAAATATGATATTTACTACAATTGCATAGAATCACAAGATAAATTGGATATTAAATATTATGAGTAGATAATTACATTACCTGAATATGTCCATAAAAATTTGCACCAAGGGCCTTTCCACATATACAACAGAGCGCTACGCAAATTTTATTCTGCGTTTGAAATAGAACAGATCTTGCTGGTGCAGCGCTGGCTTCGTTGTTCTTTGTTTTCGGGCTTTATATTTTTCAAAAATCAGGGGTAAAAATCGGGCGCTATTTTTCAGGCTGATAATCGGGGAAAAATTGGGTCTTTTTTAAGCTATTCAGAAATTGGGTTTGCTCGTGTCTTGTTTATAAAGGGCAAGTACCTGAAATGTGTTATTAACACGAACAAAAAAAAGTGCACAAAGAATATCATATAGCAATGCTGCTCGACCTTATAGTATATTTTGGCCTTCTTACTCATTCTGAAGCAAATATATACAGAGGTAACGGAAATCAAAGAAGTTTGCTACCATCAAACGAGTGACGGAAGAAGCAGTTCTGAAATTTTCCATAAATTCAATTGTTTCAAGACCGGTATTCGGGGAGAAGTCGGGATTAACCCTATTCTGATAAACACTGTTCGGTGTGCAAAAGCGGCTAATATCGGGGTCTACCCGAAAACGAAGAACCCTATATATCAGTGATTCAACGCTAAGCCAGAGCTAACTCATGTTCAAGTCGGCGCTGCATGAGCGCTCTCTCTAGTGAAAATAAAGCGCTGCGCTGTATTTGTAAACCGGCACGAATAGCAGGAAGAACTATCTTTGTGATTATTGCTATGAAGAAAGGGACACGTTATACACTAATTTTTTTTTGTCTGAAACCCCAAAGACCAGTGTCAAATTAAAATACCGGGAGTTTAGAAAAAGGACAACAGTGTTTAGGGCCCGCGTAAGAAAGCTATGTATAGCAGAAATTTCAAACTTTGTGAGGATGTGACGCTAGTGGTTGAGATGGAAAGCGAAATTTTGAGAATATGACGTTACTTGGATCAAAATATAATTGAAAAAGATCAAGTTTCGCTATCAGCTAACGTCCATCAAAATCTAATATCTTCAAGACAAGAAGTGACATGGTCGGCGCCTGTGTCTATTACAGCGAATCACTAGTCGCTTGTCTGCTGACAAGCATTTTTTACTAATATAAACTCCACGCACGTGCCCGAAAATCAGCCCTTGCTTTGACAATATTACGCTCAGATAGACGTCGGCTCATAACGGAACTTCATCGTGAGAAATGTGTTCATTCTTAATTATATTTCCATCCAGTTAACATCATGTTTGTAAACATTCGCGTTCCATCCCAACAGCTAGAGTCACATTCTAATGTACTTTGGGTTTTCTGCATGCAGTCTATTTACGACGCCAAAAAACACGGTTCGCTTATGGAGCTTAAAATTAACCGTTTTATGGAACCGACGCAACCTTCCTCCAATTAACATTAAGTTATTTCATCATTTAGTGCAGTCAGGAGGAAAAATGCAATGTATAGGCATGGGGTATTTGGCAAATTTGAAACCAAGGGGGAGAAATATTTTAAATTAAAAAGATTTGATTTTACATAGAAATACACAGTTAGACGGCGAAAACGTGGCAACATTTCTGCTAGCGCTATATTTTACTCGGAAACTTTTGTTTGCATTTACCGTACGTTTACGGGCACAGGAAGAAAGACTGAAGCAAGGGGATTCTTTTTGCACTTAAAAAGCCAATAGAGCAGTTTTATTTTCATTACGCTTATATTATAAAGCACCATCATTAACGAAAGAAAATTATCGCACACATTCATATAACGCATGGACGCTTAAAAGAGAGAAAGTAATTGTGGTGACCTGCTTCCCAGGTCTAAACTCGGAGAGAAATCCCTTCATGATTTAGGAAGAAATTTGCACTATACTAACACCGAAGTTCTAATGCTCCAAGGCACCGAATGTTAAACCACTGCCTTTATTATATAAAAACACAAAACACAAATGCAGTGCAGAAGTTATATGAATACAAAAAATGTATATATATATATATATATATATATATATATATATATATTTTTTTTTTTTTTTTTTGTAATTACGCAGGGAAGAAGCACTTGAAGAGCAAACTCAAGACGACCTCTCGAAGTGTGCCCGAGCACGTCTAAGGAATGTGAAAATAAAGGGGTAAGCGGCAATGTTAAACTTCTATTTTCTTGTTTGGTTGTTTTTTAAATAATATTCGAAAAAAAAAACGTTATCGTTTTTGTTTTGCGTTTGAAATTAATCATTGCAGGATAACTTCGCTTTCGCTCGTTTTCTACTCCGTCCTAATGACTAAAGCTGTTGTTAGACTTACTGCGAAATTAAAAGAAATTAATCGTATTTAGTCCTCGCCGGAAATAGGTACACGGTGAATATAAACGATTTCATTTAGCCGCGATCCCATAGACTCGTAGTCGCGCGGCTGCTGTAGACAATGTAGACACTTTTGAAGAAAAACACAATAAACGTGTTTCACCATCGAAGTGTAACCGAGCTAATTTCTAGAGCATTATATTTCTGAACTGAACTTATGACTCACTGACCTTGCTCCGCTTAACAGCCTACCTGGCCTGATAATGACGTCTTGCTGATGATGGCGACTTCTATTGCTTAGCAGGATGGAGACATTCCGTCCTATGACTAAAATATTTCCGGATTCGCATATTTTTCCACGCACACTTCACATAACCGAAAAGTGAAGCCTCATTGCATGGGTAAAGTAGAACAACAAAAAGCGCCATACCATCCACGGAACGAGAACATTGTAAATCGTGGCTGCCCGAGACGAATCTTAGTTGAGTCTTTCGGATATTGGGCTCACTATCCTCGAGGCGTCTATGAGGCGAATTATTCTTGAGTATATCGAAAGTAGATGTACGCTTTGGCTGCTCCTTGATGTGGCCAATATTTACTTTTATGTTAAGGTATTTATTTATTTCTACGCGATTTGGTCGCGCTCCTTAGGTCGTTATAATTACAGGGTTCCGTGATTCCAGTACGTTCCTTTAAACTCTTATAAATAACTCCCGAAGTGACTTCTTCCGAACCGGGGAAAACCGAAAAACACCCATTCGGAGCTGCCCATCCAAAGAAAAATTACTTTGTCTAAAAAAAAAAAGTATTATATGTTGTTTTTTTTTTTTTTGTGAAATTAAGCACAATTTGCATTAACTGTCCTTGAGCTTGCTTCTTTACGAGAGCCCCGTCCCTTCACTTTTGTTCTCCGTACAGGGAGAACGTTTTCAAGCGTTTGGATCACGGGTGTGAGTTCAATGGACCGGAAAAAAAGAAGACACCGGAGAAGGGGCGTTGTTTAGTGGAGCAAATTTATAGAAATGCAGTTGTTTTATGACAAAAGCCCCGATTAAACCCTATTTTTTGCTTTGCACTGAACATAGACACCGAAGTACACGAATTAAAAAAAAAAAAGAATACACCGTTAAAATGCCCCCAAAGTTGAAGAATCGCAGTCCATGCTGAAATTCGCAACATGCTCGAGCACGGGGTCACAATGTCTCGTGCTGCGCACTTCCAAATGTTCTTAGAAAAAAACACCCTTTGGCATAATGACATATGAAGGTCCCTGCCTTTAAATGGATACTGAACCGAAATTTCGATTTCGCAAAATAGGGCGTAGAAGCGTAGAACGGGACACTACAAAACATGAGCCATACATCGATATCTCAAACGGATGACCGTACTTTTGGAAACGAAGGGCAAAATCAAGTGAGGGCTATGACGTCATTCTCCTCCTGGAGCAGTTGAGATTGAGGGAAAGCGGCGTCGCTTCTCTCCTCCTCGCTACGGTTCGCCAGCTCGACGGGACGCGGCGAAGGGGAGAGGGAATGAGAATCCTAACGTGTCTTGTCTCGTTTGCCTCGTCGGCCGCGTTCAATCGTGCACTTTACCAAAAATAAGCACGATCTGTTAGAGATATCGCCGTATGCGTGACATTTTTGTGTTTTGCAGCGTACCGCCTATCAGTCGAGCCTTGTTTTGTGAACTCGGAATTTCGGTTCACTAACTCTTTAACAGCTGTGAGCGCTTCACCGTGCTTTTCTCTTTCCTTTTAGGCTACAAAACTGGTCTCGGCACCTTTTGATTGTACCTTAAATAAAACAATTGTATTGTATTTATATAACCTATGTCAACTTCAATGTGTTTATTTTCTAAATTACTAAAAAAAAATGTAAAATGTTTAACAGCCTTTAGAAATACTAAAAAGTACACACAAAACAGTTTACAAAGAGTATATTAAATACGTACTTTACGTTTTACATATCTACTGTTTGAACTTTTTGACGCGCGAAGCGCACTGTTAAAACATGAAGTAAACTATAAGTGTAAGAATGTATCCATCAGTTATCAAAACCATGCTGCAGTATAGAAAAAAAAATATTTAAACATTATTTTTTTTGCATGATCGAGGGCACGATATCGGTATGCTTTGCAATTACTCATGTATGTATATATATATATATATATATATATATATATATATATATATATATATATATATATATATATATATATATATATATATATATATACCGGGTGTTTCTGCGAAGGCTTTCAAAAATCCTAAAAATTAAAGCGTCAAAAAAACAAAACTTTCTTCGGGAACAAACTACCAGCCACGGCGGACGTGAGGAATTGCCAAAAACGTAGTAATTAGCCAACTAATTAATTAAAATTTGTTAATTAACTTTTTAATTAGTGGAAATAGACATATGGTTCTAATTAGAAAGTTGCTGAGCGTTATCGAAAACCACTAAATTAGTCATTTTCAAAAAGGCTTTCGGCGCCTGAGAAGCGTAGTATTGTACTAAAGTTACCACTCGTGGAGCAGGTGCAAGGCTGGGGCTAGATAAGAGACGGAAAAATCGCGCGGGCGCCTTATCGCAACCGCTAGCTTTGTACCTGCTCAAAGAGCGGTAACTTTAGTGCACTACTACGCTTCTCACGCGCTCAAAGTCTTTCTGAAAACGACTGATTTAGTGGTTTTCAATAACGCTCAGCAACTTTCTAATTGGAACCATATGTCTATTTCCCCTAATTAAAAAGTTAATTAACAAAATTTAACTAATTAGCTGGCTAATTAGTATGTTTTTGGCCATCCCTGACGTCCGCCGTGGCTGGTAGTTTGTTCCCGAAGACAGTTTCTTCTTTTTTCCAACGCCCTAATTTTCAGGATTTTTGAAAGTCTTCGCAGAAACACCCGGTATATATATATATATATATATATATATATATATATATATTTACTATTAATGGAAGTGGTTGTGAACCTCGATTTTATCCGTACAAATTATATACCTCATTTCCGAGCGGTGAACGCGCCAGGCCACCTGAAATATATCACTCCATCTGAGCTCAGCTAAGAATGACCGAATTTCGATGCGTTAATATTTCATGTTTCTTTTATGCGCTCTTAGAAATAGCAGATTGATGAACAAGTATCGCATCCAGTAAGCTGTACGAGGTGAGAGCAGAGTTGACGCATGGTGCAATCTTGTTGAAAACCTTTGTGACAGTTTTTCCTGCAAATGTTTGTTTCCTCTGAAACCACTAATCGCAAAATAAAAATAAACCGCATGGAGTGATTGCGCTGAAACCAATTAAACTGTATGAAAAGCCAATATAAAAGCTTGGTCCTAGTTTAACAACCACGTACTGCTCCATGCTGCATTTGATTCATGCTAAGATAAAAAAAATTACCCTTAAAGTAAAATCGCATAAACGTAAAGGCTTATTTACTAGCGCATAAAGGAAGCGATTGCCAGATCATAAATCCTTCGTTTTCTTCCTCTTTCTGCTTCCGTTATATCAGTCCCTCTAGGGCCTCCTCGCGGCATTTTATTCTTGGAATAAAAGTTTATACATAATAAATTCATAAAAATTTGTTCTTTTTTTTTCTGTACACCCTCTTACTTCTGCGAGATTTTTTTTTCTTCGGATATTTAAAACAGTAGTTATAAATCATCTATCCGCCAATTTTTGGTACAATGCACCTTCTAGAAAACAATTTTTGAGCGCAGCTCTTAGGCGCCCATTTCCGGCTAAATAACAATTACGACGGCGACGCCGTCGGCGTCTGCGTCACTGTCTTCGTAACCGCGCGGTGCATTATGGGACATTTCCCATGATGCAACGCGCGGGGAGGTGGAGGGAGGAGGACGAGGGAGGGGGCAGAAGGAGGGGGAGGAGGACGGGGAAAGGGAAGGAGGAGGAGGGATTTGAGGCGGGAGGGGAGGGGAGGAGGAGAGGGGGGAGGGGAAAAAGGGGAGGAGGAGGGATGAGGGGGACGGGAAGGAGGAGAGGAGGGGAGGAGCTCGAAGGATGACGGCAGGAGGAGGTGAAGGAGGAGGAGGAGGACGAGTAGCAGGTAGAGGAGGGAGGAGGGGAGGAGGACTAGCAGGGAGGATGAGGTGAGGAGGAGGGGTATACCCTCCCTTTAGTACCCTTCTCTCCTTTTCCTCCTCGAGAGCTGCACTCTAATTCAGCGTTACATGGAATATTAAATGTCTCTAATTGTTTTGATACTTTTTTTTAATAAGCTAGACCAGGTTTTATACGTTTACAGCGATGCACATAAATGCTGTCAAAAGGAGCTGAGTGAGGATAGTTTTTATTGTAACGTTAATTTGTCTTACAATTCTTGAAGTGAAATGTTGTTGCTTTATACCAACAGGCTGGAGGAATCATGCATCGCCTCCTGGCTCGTTGGGCTGCCTTTCGCTTATGCGGCCTTGCTTGTGCCGAGCTTGGCAGAAAGGTAGGTTTATTCTGATCAGCATCACGACATTAGTGTGTTTAATGCATGCTAGCTTGTAAAATTTCTCGACATCACGCACACGTCCCACGCTGGACTGCACGATAATAAACATAAAAATTACCGAAGAAAGTATAATGTAAACGACGGGATGCCACAGCGTATGCTTTGGATGCCGCAATTGACCGTCCAGGATTGGCAGAAATATCGTGACCTATCTGATCGAATTATTTGAGTGTAACTTATCCTCCCAGTGGTCGAGTCTCTAAACCTCAGCTATTTGTTTAAAAACAAAAAAGGAAATGAAAATACACCTGCGATTATTGTAAAAAAAAAAACAGATCAAAATATTCTTAGCATTAACAATTTT